TTAATAGTAAACCTATTTTAGGCATAGTCTCAAGCTAAACGTGTGTGGTTCTTTTCACCTCACTTTCAAACCATGTGTGTGTGCACACATGCTTTAGACTTAAAGTGTGACAATTTTTCATCTTGACTTATTACCTAATTGTTTAGAGAAAGCGATTTAAGGTGAATGTAATAGCAAAGTAAACAAATTTTAACATCTTTTAATTAACAATTTTTTAAATGTGGTTTAAAGGATTCATTTATCAAGTCGCACCTCAAGAACGTTAGATTTCATTGTTTCGTAATGCATCATAAGTATATCTGTATAATTGCTGGTGGGAACATTTAGGGTATCGCATTCAGTATAGCATTCATTTATAGAGTTAAGGTCTTCAAATTTCTCGGATGTAAACATAATTTTTTTCAAAAATATATATATATTTATAATTCAAATCTTTTTTTTTTCGTATTAACGTTACTTCGTAAAGGTAATAGTCAAAAAATACTTGGAAATTCTTCAACATTTAAAAACTTATATTTCGCGCCTAAATAACGAAAGCGAAACGAAAATGCCACATATAGTATTCTTTATTTGAAAGCGCATAATACCAAAGTTTAAATAAAACAATTAAATTCAAGTTTTTTAGTATGCAAGACAAAGTCTTGAGCCATACTTATCAACATACGCATTGGTCACCCATACAATAAATAATATACTAACGCTTTGCAATAAATGTTTTTTCGAACGGCAACCATAGGTTTAAAAAGTGACACGACACTGGACTTTATTGTAATGTGTAAATAACACGAGCGGTCTATATTAAATTCTGTGTAATTATTGGTATAAATTTAGAATAGTTATGAAGAATCAAGATAGTGCTATGAAGCTGGTGTCTTTTCTTCCTAAAATTTCTTATGAAAGACAAACTACTCTTCTAAAGTTACTTATATTGTCTATTGCCGCAGTTCTTTGTAAGTTAATACTGCAAAAACAATAATTTTTCACAATGTTTTTTAATAAATGATCAAGAATTTTTCTTTAATTAAAAAAAAATTCTTAAAATTTTCAACTGAGTTGATTATATTGTTATTGTATTAATAATCTATCAGACAATTAAATATAAAATATTAAACTTTATGATTTAATTGTATAAATAATTTAGATTAAAAATTTAAGCAATTTATTCTAAGTTGTTTAAATATTAAAAAAAGAATAGTAGAGAAAGTTGAGGCACATAGATACAATAAGCATTACACAAAAATAGCATGCAATAGATGAGTAGTTCACATGTAAAGCATCAATTCTCTGTAGGAATGAATGAATTAACTGTTATTTTTAATAATATATATGGCCACATTTATATAAATACATTGGAGCTCATTTATACTTATCAATGATCTAAAAAAATCAAATTAATTTGTTTTAATCAAGACAACTTATTCTAATAACTATTAATAGTTGTGATTTTACACTATAAAGTATGTATCATACCTATGAAATATGTATTATACTAATAGACTAAGCTATTTTCTTTACAAATTGCTAACCATGAGTTAAAATGCAATCCAAATTCTGTGACATGATACCAGGGTGTACATACTTTCAGCTACTTTGTAGCAGTTCTCAGTATTCTCTAAAAAGTGAAGAGTTTATAAGTAAACCAGATGACAAAATGCACACAAATCTATGCAACTATGCAATCTTTATCAAATTCAAATATCTCAGCCTTCTCTACATTTTTAAAAAATCCTTATGTTGTGTTGCCATTATTTAATGATTAAAATCTTTTTAGTTTGCAATATAGAGTGGATAATGGATTCAGATTACTACTAATAATTTTCTTTTATCATTAATGTATCCAGACAAGTGAAGCAAAAAAAGAATAAGATTGTTTCTTCTTAAAGACTTTAGTTTTTTTTCTTAATTGTCAGCTGATTATATATGCTTAAACTGGTTGTTTTATCAAAACCAATTTTTTAAATGTTGTGTCAGTTTTTTAAGATTATTTTAAGAATAGTTGCAGTCGCTAGAGTTCTGGTATCAATTATTATTATCTAATATAGTGTGAAAGCTTTATTGAGATTGTTTTTGCTTGTTCTAAATTAAAAAATTGCTTTTAAGGATAAGTTTTCATTACTTAAGCATTCTTTATTCTGTTTTCTTTTAAAAGATTACAACTATTATTACAACTACTGCAACACATTTATTATAACAGCTCATCTATTAAGCTATTTAATAAGTAAATATTGTATGTATATATGTGTTTGTGTTTGACATGATGAGTATTTTTAATAATTTTGCAAGTCTGGCATTAACTTTAGATTTTCTTTATTGTATACTAAAAATTTTGATTTATTAAAATTAGTTTAATCAAGTTATTTTCATATTAAACGGAATAATATTGCAAAAAAAAATTATTTTTTGCAATATAAAGACTTAAATCATATTTAACAGGCCTTTATAAATCATAAGTATAACTCAACTCAACTTTGATATATTATTAAAAGATAAATGGCATCAGTAGCATATTTTAAAGTTAAGTAAAATAGTGGTTAAATTTATTAGTTTTTATCAATCAAATTAATCTCAGAACAACGTAAAAATGCATTAATGCAACATAATAGAATGATTTTATATTGTTAAAAGAAATTGTCTAGATAAAGTAGTACCATTTGTTTACAGTAATTTTTATTGAGGGGTGAATTATCTCATAGGCAGAGTAGATACTGTCTAAGTTTCACAAATCTTTTTTAATTCTAAAGGGAGCCTAAATAATTTTTTACAGTACTATAGTTAGGTTTTTTAAAATATTATGTGGGTTTTCTAGGTTTGCTTTGTTTAATTGTTTGTTTTTTGTACTTGTTTACAATATTATTAAACTCATTCAAGGCTATTTTATCCTCCAGATATGATTACTAACGTTTACATTCACAATAGTGTTGTAGCCAGCAACATTAACAATTAAATGCTTGTTTGGTGTTTTGTGGTTGTCCTACTCAAAAAATGGGTTTGTTTGTATGGTTATGTTTATATTAACGGCTGCAATAACCTAGTGATAGGTTCTGCAGGGATACATTATCTTTTTTTTTGATTTCAGATTAAAAACATTAGTCGAATTTATTAGCTTCAACAGTATCAAGTACTATTACCACAAAGGAATTTATGTTGAAATTAGTAAATGTCTTGATGCTGTTGATTGGGTTTATTTATGGCAAGTCAGCAACAACAACAACAAAAAGCAATATATTTACCAGAAATATAGATTTTTTACATAATAATGTTATAAGTTATAAAAAAAATATATATATATATAGTCTACATTCTGGATGGTTCACTCTCATATAGCTAGGCTAAACCAAGGAGAGCGACCATGAACAAATAAAACAAAAAAGACAACAAAAAAACAAAAAAATAAAATAAAATAAATAATACACTCACAGAAGGTTGAAATTAGTTAACATTCATATGAATAACTTATCCATTTTTTACGGTGATAAATAATTTATCATCAGCCATACTACTGTTGTTTTAATTAATCTTGATGTTGCAAGTAGTATTTTAATTTGGTTTTAAGGACATATTTTTTAATTTTGTTAAAAGGGAATAACTTTAATTTATTTTGAATTTGATTCCAGTTCATTGTTGCAGAGTATTGAAAGGAATGTTTACCATACAATTTTGTATTATATGTTGGCACACTCAGTGCACCACAATTTCTTGTATGTCAACATACAAGAAATTCTTGTATGTTGACTCTGTCAACATACAAGAAATTCTTGTATGTTGACTCTGTCAACATACAAGAATTTCTTGTATGTTGACAGCTGACTGAATTACGTAGAGTAAACCATTTATTAAATATACAAGGCAACTTTTTGTTTAGGCAGCTGTGAATAAATAAACAATTTTCAATTTTAATTATATCATGTACTTTTAACATTTGCAGTGCGTTAAAAGATGTGAATGTATGTGAATTTTTTGGTAGAAATTCAATAATCCTGATTGCTTTTTTTGCATAATAAATAGGCGATTTACAATACTTAAGTTTTGACTCCATGATAGTAGGCAATATGTTAGGTGAGAGTGAAACAAAGCATAGTAAATAGATTTTAGAGTTTTTTGTTGTATAAAATGTCTTAGCTTTGACAAAATGGCAAGGGATCTATTCAACTTATTAGATAAGTCATTACAATGTAAAGTCCAGGTTAAGTTTTCGTCTAGCCTTATACCCAAGTAGTTTACAAATTTTTTGCACCAAAGTTTTTTCCCATTTAACTTAATTTTGAGCTGTTGATCTAATTTTTTGTGACGACTTTTAAACAATATTAAATCAGTTTTTTTAGAGTTAAAGGAATTTTTGTTGGCATTTTGTTGCATAGTTTTTTAAGATCATACTTAACATATTTGTTGATTTTTTTTATAGACTTATTAAAATAGAGAACTTTTGTATCATCCGCAAAGTGTTGGACTCTACAAAATTTTAAAGCTTTAGACATGTCATTAATATAAATAAGAAATAATAAAGGGCCAAGGACAGATCCCTGAGGAACACCTACTTTGATGTCGTTCAGGTCTGAGCTCACTCCACTAATGGATACTAATTGAGTTCTATTAGTAAGGAAAGATTTGAACCAAGAGTTTGAAACTCCTCTAATACCATAGTAGGATAGCTTATAAAGTAGAATGTCAACATCTACAGTGTCAAATGCCTTTTGAAGGTTGATAAAAATGCCACGTCCAAACATTCCTTCATCCAGAGAATCTTTAATTTTTTCTGTTAGACCTAGTAAAGCAAGTGATGTAGAGTAGTTTGTTCGAAAACCAAATTGTAATTCAAAAAAAAGTTTATTTTCATTGAAGAATTTGTCTAAGCGGTTAAACATTAGTCTTTCAAGAATTTTATCAATGTTAGAGAGGAGGGAAATTGGCCTATAGTTTGACATTATTAGTTTTGAATCATTATAACTTTGGCTGTTTTTAGGTTTTCTGGGAAAATACCACTTGAGAACGAAATATTAAAAATATTAGAAAGAATTCTTGAAAGTTCTGTTTTTAATAGTTTTAGAATTTTAACTAACATACCGTTTGGTCCAGAAACTTTATTTGTGTCTAAAGAGTTATTTATTGCGTCTAAGGATAATATTTGAAATTTCATGTTCGTCAGTAGGTTTTATAAAGAAAGATTTTTGAGAAGGATTTGATAAGTAATATGTGAAATGATTTATGGATGAAGGAATTGTTGCCTGGACATCCTTACCAATGTTAGTAAAGTATTTGTTGAAAGCATTACTAATATCAAAAGGGTTTGTTATTGTTTTATTGTTATGTATGATTACATTAGGAGTTGTTTGAGAGTTACTTTTAATATTAATAATGTTTTTGATACCTTTCCAGGTTGCTTTTATATTTTTTATGTTTTCAGTAAAATAATTATCATAGTATTTTTTTTTTTTGCTTTCTTTGAGTTTAGATTGAAGGTTATTATGAAATATTTTATACTCATTATGAAATATGGTTTTATTTGTTTGATTTTTAGACCTAATACATTTTTTAAAGCGATTAATTTTGTGCTGAATAGAGTGTTTGAGTTTGTCTGATATCCATGGTTTAGTCTTAAATTTAATGTTTTGTTTGTTAAGCTTTTTCAAGGGTGCATGAATACTAAGCAGTAGATTAATGTAGGAAATAGTATTCTCAAGAGACTGAGTACAATTATCAGGGTATATTTTTGGTTCTCTCTCTGAACTAATTTTGTGAAAATCGTTTCTAAATGCAACTTTATTGAAACATTTCCAGTTTCTTTCCTGAATTAAGAGCTTTTTGTTAGGTGGTGTTTAAAAAATATTATAAGCTATCAGAAATTGGGGAAGATGATCTGAGATTGTGGTGGTAAGATTCCCTGCTTTATATTTATTTGATTTAATATTTGAAGTAATGTTATCAATTAATGTTTTGGATTTACAGATACGAGTATGGTGGACAATGTGAGGTAGAAAGTAATTTGAGGTGAGTCTAAAAAGTCTCTAGCATATGAATCTATGTCACACTTTAACAAATCAATGTTGAAATCCCCTAAAATAAATACAGTTTTATTTTCTTTTGTTAGGTTTTTGAATAACGGATTAAAATAGAAGGATATGAAGTTGTCTAAAGACATTTTTGGATGCCGGTAAACACAACCAACGATAATATTTGATTTTTTAGATGAAGATGAAGATAGATTCTAATTCTTTAGGTTTATAGATGTGGAGATCGTTTCTGGGTTTATAGGCGAGCCTGTTAATAATATATAATAATGCACCACCTGCATGTGATTCAGATGGTGTGTGTTCATAGGAATACCCATTAAGTGTTAAGTTGCTAGTTTGTGGGTATTTTTTATTTAATCTGGTTTCCGATATACCAATTATGTCAAATTCAAGTTTTGTTGATTGGAGTAGATTTTCAAGGTCATCAAAATGTTTTGGGAGTGATGAGATATTGATGTGAAAGATATTGAATGGGGATTTGTCAGCTGCTATACATTTTAAATCATCAACATTAGTATAATAACTGTTTATTGAGATTTTTTCAGTTTTGTTGTTGTTATCAATATGTGTATTAAATGTGTTAAAGAATGAGTGGAAGCTCTCTATTGGAAAGATTCATTAATTTTAGTGTCGACATTAGTAAGATTTTCATTGTCAGTTATAGTTTCGTTATTGAAGGGAAATATACTAGCTAAGCAATTTATACAAAACCATGAACAATTTTTTGAGGAGTTTTTTAGTAATTGGTAGTCAATATCATTTAGGTTGTTACATTTTTAGGTGGACCCAATTAAGGCAGTTATCGCAAAAAATAGCTTTTTGATTTTTATAGACACTAATTTTGCAAACAGCACATTTGCTATTTGTAGTTTTCATTACGATGAATTGATATGACGATAAGATATATAAGTAAGAATATTTATATGAATGTAAGTAACTGCAACCTATTAAAAATCAAGAAACAGAATAAAGTAAAAACAATAATCAAAAAAGTAAAATAATAAAAAATAGACGAAAACAATATATATGTAATAATGTGATAAATATTAACTGTCAGGTAAAACAATTGATTTGTCTTGCTGTATTGTATGGTTGTTAACTTAAGAGTAATATTAGTAGCTACTAATATTATAATACAAATATTATAATACGAATTTTACGTCGTCCAAGAACGATTTTGCGTGTAGCTAGGGCTATTTGCGTCGAGCAAAATATTTTTTGTTTGAGTATATTTAAAGATATTTTTTAGCGGAATTTTAATGAAGTAATTTACAATTATTTTAAGATTTAATAAAATATTTTAAAAACCGCACGCAGTTGATATAAAAGTTTGAATTACAAAAAAAAAAAATATGTTCATTATTTACAAGTAGAAAAAATTCAGATTAAAAAAAAAAGTTTGTAACTTTTTAAGCTAACATTTTAATAAAATTATTCAGCAATAGCAAAGTTGTCGATAAAATTGAACAAAAATACTTTCTTTTAGTTTTAGATTTTTAACTTAAATAATTATTTTACAGGTGTTTGTTAGGTTTTAAAATTATTCTATAGATTTAAAAATATTTATAAACTGTTAGACGTATTTAAAGTATTCCATTTGTAAATGGAAACTTTAAATACGAACAAGTAAATGGAACAATAAAACGTGTTCTACTTGATTCAATATAATAGTACAGTTATTAAAATTTTTGTAAAAAGTAACTAAAAAAAAATTACTTAAATAATAATAATCGCTTTTTTTGTTAAAAGTTACCGAAACTCAACGAAGCGTGCTCAATTCTAACATTTTATTTTATTTTACTAGAAATAAAATTCCTTGTAAACATTAAAAATCTATTCAAAATGTTCGTTAAAGTTTTTTAGTAATACGAGTGATTGTGTTTATCAACTGCTTTATGAAAATAAATAAAAATAAATAAATAAAAAAATATTATATAAAAAATCGCTGGTAAAAATATTAGCTATTGCACAGTTTTTAATCGTACAAAATTAAAATTTCCAGTTTATTACTTGCTGACTTTTTAAAAAGAAAAAATAATTATTTGAAAAACTTTAAATTACATATTTGAGAAAAAAAAATCATATATTAGCATATTTTATAATCTTTTTCAAATGTTTAGTTATAATGTTTAGTTATAATGTTTTTTTATTCGTTTAGTATAAACAAAACGTGTCAAACATCGAGAAAATAAACAAAGGTTTTTACATTTTAAAAAACGAAACATTCCAAAACATTTTTAAATAATAACATTTCTATATTGATGATATAAAGTAGTTTTGCGGTAATTAAGTAAATTGGTGCAGTTAATCTCGATAAATATGAAAAGCAAATAAAAAGAATTTAATGACGTCAAAATTCACGTCGAGCTTATGCGTCGGGCAGTTTTTATTCATCACAAAGTCTGATATCATTGCTCGAACTCCAAAGCTATAAGCAATTTATGTCGACTCAGAAAGATTTTATTAAAACATACCTGGAATCCTCTTTCTTTTTCTTAACTTTAAGTAAGGCTGGGTGTTCGAGGTACCCGCTTACTATAGACTTGTTTTCTATGAGACGACGTCGTTCTTTCATGGCCTCATTGCGACGTTGAGTTAGCGATGGCGAATACATTTGTTCAACTCGAATAATGTTTTTGGACCTGAAAAAGATATTTTTTGTGTGTTCACTATCAGCCCATTTATGAAATTTGACAAAAATGTGGCTTGACTTGGTGCTGTTTTCGTGAACAGCTGACGAATATTTTGAACTTTTCCCTTTAGAATACAATAAAACATCTAAACATAAAGATACTATATGCGTTCTTTATAATTAACAAATTCATATGGTCAAAAAACAAGTTACAACTGCTATTAATAAATATGAGAATTACATTATCTCAAATTGTAAATCCAGAATGACTCTATTCATACATAAATGGTCAAAAATCTTGTAAAAGTGTAATTCGTTTTCTTTTTCACTTAAATGGTAATCAATTAGTGGATAAAAAATCAATTGCAGAATGTTTTAATCTTCATTTTTCCAAATTGTTCACTTCTATCATAAGTAACTTAAGCTTACCAGTGTTTAGTATTAGAACTAATGCAATCTGTTCTCCAGATGTCAGCTCCCTATTCTCTAGCAAAAATTTAGAAGCTTTATTATCATTTCTTGATACTTCAAAAAGTACAGGTATTGATGGTATACACGCTTATGTTTTTAAAAATTGCTTAGCTAGTTTCAGTAGACCACTTTCACTTATGTTTAATGCTTCAAAGTTTATGGTTAAGTTCCATCAAATTAGAAGTTCGCAAAAGTCTTACACATTCACAAGAAAGGTTGTCGTACTGATCCAGAAAACTATCAACCTATTTCACTAACTTCTATAATTTGTAAGGTTATGCAAAAGTTACTTCGCGACTTTATGGCAGACCATTTGTACACCAACAAATTATTATCTGTTATCAACATGGATTTGTTAGAAATTGTTCGCGTACTACTTATTTTTTAGAAGTATTAAACATTATTACCGAAGCTCTTAATGATTCCTGCTCTGCACTACTAATTACTTTAGACTTCACTAAAGCATTTTATTGTGTTTCACAGATTTTTCTTCTCCTGAAACTAAAAGGATACGGTTTCTGTAACATGATCCTCAATTGGATAAAAGATTTTTTGAACAATAGAAAACAATGTTGTATTCTTGGTGAATTCTCTCCTGATTGGGTAGAATGGAGTTCCTCAGGGCTCAGATATCTCTCCACTTTTGTTTTTAATTTTTGTTAATGACATGCCTGAGGTTTTAAATAATTTCTGTATGTTATTTGCTGATGACATTCAATTAATTCCAAAAACCAAAAGCTTTTCTAATTTCGAATAAGTCCAAAAGGATATAAATGTCTTACTACATTGGTCTAAATTTTGAGGCATAAAATTTAATATAAATAAATGCAAAGTAATAAGCTAATATGATGGTGTCGATGTTTTAGAATACTAAAACATTGACAACAATACTCTTTTGGTATGCTTAATTCATTGAACACTCTTATTCCTTTTTAAAATGTTGATATTGAAACGTCACTAGGAGTTTATTTCAATAACTTAAGTGTTCTAATCAAATAAATAATGCAGCATTAAAAGCTAACCAGATGATATTCTTAAAAAAGCTTTTTTTTTATTTGAATCCAATTATGTTTTTAAAACTATATACTATCTATGTACCCCCGCTGCTTGAGTTTTGCACTCCAGTATGTAACCCCTATTTAAAGGAAGATATTGAGAGACAATCAAGATTCGTAGTTCATGTTTCTTAATTGAGGAACTAGTTAGTTGCTTTTGAATTTTCTTTTCTAATAGAATTTTTGTGTTTTCAAGTTTTCTGGTAACTCTTTGTTCTCTTTTATTTTTATAGTAACTCCAAATTTGAGTTTTTTTTTGTTTTTTTTTTGGATTGAATTTGTAGAAGACAGATTTAAAAAAAAAAAGAGTTTTAAGATGTTTGTGATAAATTATGTTCATTGTAGTTTTTATAAAAATTTGCAATTTATTGTTATTGATCAATATTTTTAACAAAAATAATAAGTTAATGAATAAGAAAATAAATTAACAATAAATGTTTTTAGAGAAATTAAGTAGATTTTTATATTTTAATTTAATATGCTAAGAATTTAAAATATTTTTTCAGCATTTGCAACTCGTTTATTTTCTGTTCTTCGATTTGAAAGTGTAATTCATGAATTCGATCCATATTTTAATTATCGTACAACTCGCTTTCTCACAGAAGAAGGTTTTTATGAATTTCACAACTGGTTTGATGACAGAGCATGGTATCCACTTGGAAGAATTATTGGTGGAACCATTTATCCAGGTACTTCTTATTTAGTTTTTATATCTAATATGTTTCCCATGTTGAGTTGTTGTATAGAATTTGTTGTATAAAATTTTGTTGTATACGATTTTTGTTGTATACAATTTTATTTATAGTTGTTGTATACAATTTTATTTATAGTTGTTGTATACAATTATATGTTGTATACAAGTTGTATACAAGTTATGTTGTATACAAGTTGTTGAATGAAATTTTAAAATAAAAAAAATCTTCATCGCTGTAGTAGTTAATAAAATTTTTATCATTATATTCTTTTTTAATAAATTGATCTTGGTTGTGGTTTTGTTTTTAATAAATAGATCTTGCATGGGGCTTGCAGTAGCTTGTGAATTTTAACTTTAACAAAACACAGTTATTTACACCAAACAACTATTGCAATACTGTGGAGGTTTCTATATTAATGAATGACTCATTCTTGCTTAACTTGTCATTCAGAAAAGTCTCATTCTTTTACTGTATCTGTCCCTGCATGCTCTAAAAACTTTTATTCGTCTAGTTTTTTCCCCTGCACTTTAACCCTTTAAAACTCTCTCCCACACTCATGTTTTTCTGACTCATACAGACTACAACTTTTCAAGTCTGCTAACCTTTTCCTTGCTTTTTAACTCTTTTTTTCTTCTAGTAACTCCTAACTTAATAAAGAGCCTTTTGGAGGAAAGAAGCCTTTTGATAAGAAAGACAGTTATTTTGCTTATCTTCGTTTTATTAAAGAAAATAAAAACCCGCATAATTAAACAATGTGATTTTTTTTTAACCAAATCATAAAGTTATACAATTTCAAGATTAAATTTGCAACATTAGTTGTAAGTAATATTAAAAATATTGTTAAATATAAATAATGCTAGTTAGTTGATATTTCTAGTTTTACTAATGTGCTTGCATTATTAGGCGATTTAAGTGATACAATTAAATTTTAGTTGATATTTTTAGTTTTATTAATGCATCTAGTTAAAGATCTTAGTACAAAATCTTTGCTCCATTAAATAATTGAAATTATAGGGTAAAATATGGTCTAAAGTTCTTAGCATTCTTATCAATGAATATAAAGATTTTCTTAACTTCAAGAGCACTAATTTAAAAAAATCATAATTTTTTGAAGTTAATGTTTAAAAGCTTTTTATTTTTTTTTTTAAAAAAGACTTTTTTGTGTATTTTTTTTTTGTGTTTTTTGTGTTTTTTTTTTTTTGTGTTTTTTGTGTTTTTTTTTTTGTGTGTTTTTTGTGGTTTTTTTTTTTTGGGGGGGGGGGGGTAATGTATAATGATAAGACTAAGTTTGTCTTCTTCCAGTCCAAGACACCTAAATATTTGTTTTTATAAATTTTGTTGGTAAATTAATTGCTTATTGGCAAATACACTCACACGCACACACACACACACACAAATGGTGCTAATTTTGCCTTTTAATATCCTTTTAACAAAGTTTTTTTAAAAAAAGAAAACTTTATTTGTATTTCAAAATGCCATGATGGAAGCACTTCCAAACCACACAAGTGTGAAACACTAGGCAAAACTTGAAAAAAATATATTTGCTATTATAATAGTGTATTTATATAGTTTCTTATCTGATTTTCTTAAGACACAATTTAATTGGTTATGTACATAGTTTTATAAAATAAAATATAATAGATTTGATGGTGACATCTCCTGCTGGTTAACACAGTTTTATAAAACAAAATATACATAATATAATAAAACAAAATAAAATATACAAGAATATAAATAAAATGATATACATAATGCAATTATTATTATATTTAGGTTTGATGGTGACATCTGCTGCTCTATATCACATAATGCATTTTTTTCATATCACTATTGAGATTCGTAATGTTTGTGTTTTTCTTGCTCCATTATTTTCTTCATTTACTGTGATTGTCACTTTTCTTTTAACAAAAGAACTAAAAGATGCAAGTGCTGGGCTTATAGCTGCTTCCATGATTGCCATTGTACCTGGTAACTATCTTTTATTATTTAAATATATATAAGTATGTGTGTGTGTATATATATATATATATATATATATATATATATATATATATATATATATATATATATATATATATATATATATATATATATATATATATATATATATATATATATATATATATATATATATATATATATATATATATATATATATATATATATATATGTATATATATATATATATAATCATTACAAAATTTAAAATAAAATCTAATTTTTTAAAAGGTTATATTTCTCGATCTGTGGCTGGTTCATATGATAACGAAGGGATTGCAATTTTTTGCATGCTTTTAACATATTATTTTTGGGTGAAATCTGTAAAAACTGGATCTCTGTTTTGGTCTACTTTGTGCTCATTAGCATATTTTTACATGGTGTGTATTTTGTTCAATTTAGATAAATAAACAAAGTAAAATAAAACCAGGACTTAAATTATAGGATTATAATTTTTGATTTTTTTATGCACAGAATTGATTATTATAATAAACCTAAATATTAAATAAAAAGAAATAAATTTTACAAGAAAACAAAAGTTATAAGTTATTTTTATTTTACAAAAAAAAGATTTTTTTTAAATATCCTAAAAATGAAGGGTAAAAAAAAAGGAAAAATTTTTTAATTCAAGTAATCATTATCAAATTAAATTGCAACTTATTAAAATACTGTTTACTGTAATGATATTATAGCAAACATTTTTTTAAATAGAAAAAAAGTCACAACCAAACATAAAATAACATTTCTAAGTTTTTTCAATGAAATTTTGGATTTAGTTATATTTGTTCAGTTTTTATTTTAAAAAGTTGTTTAATAAGTCTTTATTTCTAACCTAAAAATGAATAATTTTTTTTCTTGTATTTTAACTGCTTTTTCTTTTTATTTTTATTATTTTTTACTTAGGTTTCATCATGGGGAGGTTATGTGTTTCTTATTAACTTGATACCCATGCATGTTTTTGCATTGATAATCACTGGAAGGTTTAGTCACAGAATTTATGTTGCTTATTCAACGGTAAGTTTTCAATTTCAAACTAAATATTAAATTTATTTCAAATATTTGATTTGTTTTGTATATAATACAAATAATTAAACACAATAAATTAATACATTTAATGAAATCATCTGTCCAAAACAACTCTCTTAACTTTTGATGCTTAACTTACTCTGCTGCATTATCATGCTTTGTGTTTTGAAGTTATAGAGTTAAATGAGACTATGAAAAAGTATCCTTGTAGAGTTGTAATTTAAGTTTAAGTAAATAGTTTTTTTTTTCCTTTTTTAGGTATACTGTTTGGGGACTATTTTGTCAATGCAAATTTCTTTTGTTGGGTTCCAACCTGTGCAAACAAGTGAACATATGGCGGTAAGAAGTTTAAACAATTAAGTTAAAAATTAAAAAGTTTTAAAATATTTTCTATTCATTATTCAATTCAATAATATGAATTATTAACAATTAAAGTTTAATTTTAGGCGCTTGGTATATTTGGTTTATGTCAAATACATGCTTTTGTAGACTATTTAAGATACAGACTAAGTCCAGCTCATTTTGAGGTTCTGTTTAAATCGTTGGTAATTATTGCCGCAAGTCTTGCTGCATCTGTTGGTGCTATCTTAACTGTAACTGGCAAAGTAAGTAATCAATTATCAGATTATCAATTTTTAAATTCAAAATTCAAAAAATTCAAAATTTAAAAATCAATTTCAATAAAAATTAAAAACTATTTTTTAAATTTAAAGTTAAAAAAAGTTTTTTTCTGTTTTTCAGGTAGCTCCATGGACTGGTCGATTTTATTCACTACTTGATCCTTCATATGCCAAAAATAATATTCCAATTATTGCCTCAGTATCTGAACACCAACCTACAACTTGGTCATCATTTTATTTTGATCTCCAGTTACTAATGTTTATGTTTCCAGTTGGTCTTTATTACTGTTTTGCAAAGCTTACAGATGCAAACATTTTTATTATAATTTATGGTGTTACAAGTATTTATTTTTCTGGTGTCATGGTTCGTCTAATGTTAGTTTTAGCACCTGTAGCTTGCATTCTTTCGGGTATTGGTATCTCTTCAGTTCTTATTACTTACATGAAGGTATTAAAATTTAGAATATTTTCGTTATCAGTAAGGTATCCAGGTTAATTTTGATACTGGTATACCCGGTTTGAGCACTCAAATTTCTGCCCAAAACTCCAATGCCTTATAATGAATATAATTTTTAATCAGTTCATAAGTTTTTCGCATTATGGAAAATAAAGGCAGTATATAAAATATAAGATAAAGTTATGTAATATACTTCCTTGTCCACAAGTTATCGTAAATTGTGATATTAAATGCAGTGCCTGCATAAAAAAAAGGTCCTCAAAACAGCAAATTAATATTCTGGTATATCTTCCTGCGAGCATACAAGGAACTTTTTTTTTCTGAACAGTGTGCCCAAATAACTTCTGGATACGTTACTGATTGTTATTTGTTTTTTTTTGTTTTTACTAATTCATTGATTTTTATTTTCCTAGAAAAAAAATTTATTTTTGAATTTAGAATTTAGAAATATCCTCTACTCAGTTATCTTCCAAAGTTTCTCATCGTAAAGCTAAGCAGCAAGATCCATCTTACCCTATTAAAAACGAAGTTGCAACATTTATGGTTGCACTTATGACATTTTTCCTTGTTACTTATGTATTTCATTGTACATGGGTTACTTCTGAAGCGTATTCATCACCTTCTATTGTTTTATCTGCAAAACAAAATGATGGATCTAGGGTCATTTTTGATGACTTCAGAGAAGCTTATTATTGGTTAAAGCAAAACACTCCAGAGGTTTTTATATTTAAGCAGTTTTACTAATGAGTAATTGTTTAGTTATTAGTATAATTTTTTATGATTTATTTATGTTTTGTTTTAATTTAGGACTCAAAAGTAATGTCATGGTGGGATTACGGCTACCAGATTACAGCTATGGCAAATCGCACTATACTTGTTGACAATAATACATGGAATAATACACACATTTCTAGAGTTGGTCAGGCAATGGCATCTACTGAAGATAAGGCATATTTGATAATGAGAGAGTTAGATGTGGATTATGTTCTTGTGATATTTGGTGGTCTTACAGGATATGCATCTGATGGTAATTTTTATTTGTAAATAAATATATTAAATACATTGTATGAAAAATGTTATAAAAGCTTTTTTAATTTAGATATCAATAAGTTTTTATGGATGGTGAGAATTGGAGGAAGTACAGACACAGGCAAGCATATCAAAGAGCATGATTATTACACTCCAGCTGGTGAGTTTCGTGTTGATAAAGAAGGATCGCCAACATTATTAAACTGTCTTATGTACAAGATGTGTTTTTATCGTTTCGGAGAAGTTTATACTGAACAAGGTAATTTTATACATTTGTAATTAGTTGCTCCATTTTTGTTAAAACCCTGTGTGATGTGATTGACTCAAAATTTTAATAGTAATTACTTATCCCAAAATAAATATTTAATGACTAGGAAAAAAAAGAGTTTATATTCAACAGTTGTTTATGTGTTATTATATATGTATGTGTGTATATATATAAATACAGTGTTCGAAGTGGATAAAAAAAGAGTACGGGATGGTATTCAGTAAATTAGAATACCAGCCTAATCATTGTTATATATAGAGATTTAACAAAAAGTGATGGAATGGCATCCTGTCCCACTTCAAGCACTACATATATATATATATATATATATATATATATATATATATATATATATATATATATATATATATATATATATATATATATATATATATATATATATATATATATATATATATGCATGTATGTATGTATGTATTTGTATTAGGTTATTCAGACTTTTTTTCCGCATATCAAAATAAAATAAAATGCTATATTTTTTAAATATCAAAAAAACAAAATTTAAATTGCCTGATAGTTTAAATTGTTGACTATGATTATTAAAATCATTGTTTACTTTTGCTCATTATTCAATCTTTTATTGATAGATAAATATCAAAGTTATGTTATGAGGATATTTTAATAGTAAAGTTAAACTATTAAAATAAAATAATAACTTACTCAGAATAAACTTTATACTTAATGTTCACTTAATATTTACTTAATTTTTTTTTTTACTTTTTTTTTTTTTTTTGCTTATGTATTTAGTTTTCAATACTTTTTTTAGTTGTTTATAAAAATAATATGTAAATATGTTAAAATATGTAAATATTTTAAGGCACTTTTCTACTATTAAAATTAAAAGTTTAACTAAACTATTGTATTTAATACAAAAATTGTAATATAAAAATTATCATAAAACAAAGCGAGAGCTCTGCCACTATATCCCTTCCACATGTGATGTAATATGATGTTACAGCATGTCATTTATGATAACAGTCACATTTTAGGATAAAATCACTTAAAGGTACCCCAAAAACTAGGTTCTATTAAATGTAATTGTCTGGTTGAAGTTTACATTGCAGATAGAGAGCAAAATTTAATTTCTTCATAAAATTTCAAATAAAGTATTTTATTATTTAAAAAAATTTACTCAAGTTGTAAATACATTTAAAAGAACCAGTTTTATAGCTATCATTAAGTTTAAAGTTCTTTGTTATCATCAATAATATCTTTTCATCCCTCAAATGATTTTGCCTACATTTAAATTAGTAATTTACTGTGTATTTTGCTTACATTTTAATGCTTAGTCCGTTTTTTTATCTAACCTTTATGAAAAAAATATCCTAATAAAAAATTTTCATTAATTGATATAGTTTTTTGTTTTTATTTTGTTAACGTAATTTTTCAAATTTTATTCATAGGCAAACCTACTGGTTACGATCGCGTTCGAAATGCAGAAATCGGCAACAAGGTAACTTTACACAATAAAATTACCTTTTAATTATTTATTTTTTATTTTTCGGCTTGAATTTATATAAACATTTTTTATTAGAACTTTGAACTTGATGTTCTCGAGGAGGCTTTTACAACCGAGCATTGGTTAGTCAGAATCTATAAAGTCAAAGATCTCGAAAATAGAGGCTCATAGCAAAATTATTCTTATAGAAATTTTTTATGAAAATTTAGGGGTAAACATAAATTTCAATTGTTGCAATTATTCTATTGGTTTAGTAAATCTATTTTTGTATCTTGTAAACTATAGCTTTTAAACATTATTTTATTCACAACGAGATGCAAATTTGGTATGTGTATAGTTTTCCGTTTTTAGTTCTTCGGACCGTAGTTAAATTTTGTTATAAATTAATTCTATTATGGCTTCCCGTATAATAACGTTATAAAAGCTGAATATCTAGTTTTCTAATTTTATGAACTAATTTATCTGAATTTTTCTTATATAAATTTTAATATGAGCTCAAATTAAAATGTTTACGTCGTTAAATGTTTACGTCATTAAGTCATAAAACTGCTAAAGTACGGTTTAGTCAAAAAAATTATATTCTGATGGAATTTTCAACGGAAAAAATGAATGATAACTAGTTGATAATTTAATGAAATATTTTTTTTTATTAATATTATTATCAAAAACTAGAGATGGGTCGATTCCAGAAAAAACCGATTCCGATTCTTAATTTCGATTCCGATTCTTTTGTGATTTTTATTATTTTAATTTAACTGATAGCGCTTATAGTTAATTTAATACTTACACAGTCTTTAAAAATAAAAACATTGAAATCAGTTTTATTAGTACATGTGAAACAGGGCTAACAACACCGAGGCTCTAGGGAGCACGCCCTCCCCACACCTTTTTTATAAAAAACTATTTTTTTAGAAGTTGACCTAAAAAATAAGGATTTTTTTCAAAATAAGGGAGCGTGCAACTATCCCCCCCCCCCCCCCTTCTTTTTAAAAAAAAACGTGTCGGTCTTGTGAAATAATAGCAACTTAACTAATATTATATTAATAAATAATATACAGAATGTTTGTATAATCTTATTGTTAATAAGAAACAAATAATAAAGTCATAAGTAATGAATAGTGATCAGATCAACAGAATGTTATATTTTCAGCATTTACATAAGTTACTACCATTAGTACTGATAGTTTAGAAACGGCAGGTTTTTGTTCAAAAACACAAACATTTGCACTCGTTCTGGAGTTAACCGGCTTCTTTTCCGGTCGCAGATAAGCCCTGCAGTACTAAATAACCGCTCTGAAAACACTGTACATAGAGGCGTTCCTAAATACTACTGTGCTAGTTTTTTCATATTAAAAAATTTGGAATTCCTCCAGTAATCAAATACGTCTTCGTAACTTACGAGTAGAGGTTCTTTCAAGTACACTGCTACTTCGTCTGACATAGTGCAATACGCAGTATGTCTCTAAAATATTTTTTAAAAAATTTAATTTTTTTTTTCATATTCTTCACCTCCCCATGGCCGAGGGGACTTCAGTCAAGGAGGAATTTTTTTTTAATTCTTTTGTGTTTTTAATAGTGGTAACAGCCCTCTCTCAATTCTTTAAATCCGAAACATGGATGTAAATATATATTGCAAAATATCAAATAAATATAAATATTGCAAAATATCAAACTAATTGCAATATTTAAAGTATAATAATAATATAGAAACACATACAATACTTACTTCAGAATTTGTATTGATTATTTGGTTATATAATGACCAGACAGCACCTAGAGCAGGTGTGGTTCGTTTATGATTTTCAGCAACTTTAATTGCAAGACTTTCGTCTTTGTCCAGTGCATTTAACTCACCGATCAATAAAGTAACAGCTTTCTCAGCCATCGTCCTCCTCCTAAAAATTTTGTTTTTAAATCTGGGATCTAGTATTGTTGCAAAAGCATATATAGGTTCGTTCTCGCAGTCTCCGTAACGACGATGCAAAGATTCACAAAGAGATTCTTTGAAGTTTCCGTAGTCCTTAATGTGATCAAGTGACATGTTAACTGCATTTATTATTGGGATAACTTTTGATGTGGTCACTTTCGATGAACTTGCAGTAAGCGTGACGTCTTCAAAAACTTTTAAAGCAGCAACGAGAGAAACCAAACTGTCCCATTCTTTGGTTGACAATTCTTTGTTTTGTCGAGCAGCTTTTGGGAAATGTGGCGTTACCAACAGAATCGCATCATTTTGTTCAATTAAACGGTTTAGCATGTGGAAGGTGCTATTCCATTTAGTTGGCTCATCTTGAATAATGCTATGTTTAGGAAGTCCTAATATCTTCTGAGATTGTCTCAAAAGTTTGTAAGATTTAACTGAATGTTTAAAGTGTCCTACTATTCTTCTACATGTAGCAGTTAGTAAAGAAATGCGTTCATTGTCAAGACACCCATCTTTGACAACCAACTGAAGTGTATGAGCAAGACAAGGAATGCTTAAAAACTTCCCTACTTCCATAGCAGAGACAATATTTCTGGCATTATCTCTTACAACTACATTTAGTTATTCAAGTAGTCCCCAACGCTCAAGTGAATCATTAATAAATTTAACAAGATTGTCTGCAGCGTGGGACTCGTAAGGAAGAGGTACCACGTCAAGACAAATATGAATTTGTTTCATATCTTCTGTGAGGAAATGTGCTGTTAAGCTCATGTAATCAACATTGGCTGTGGAGCTCCACATGTCGGTAGTTATACTAACATAATCAGCTTTCTCTGCCAAGAAACGAATTTTTCTTGATACCTTCTGATAAATGTTAGGAATTTCAATAGTCGAGAAGTATTTTCTGCTTGGTATTGTATATCTTGGCTCTAAAAACTGTAATAACCTTTTGAAACCAGGATTTTCTACTATACTAACAGGTTGGTTATCTGTGCATATCATTTCTGCAATAAGACTTGTAATCTTTATTGCCTTCGGATCTGTAGATGTGAGAGGCCTGGTCTTTGAAAGCACTTGTTGTATTGTTGGTTGTTTAGAAGATGAAGATCTGAGCTTCATTTTTAAAGAACTAAGTGTAGAAGAAGAGCTTCTAGTATCGATCTCCACCTCCTCAGACTTAGGGCCGAGACTTGTGAATACGGATGTGAGTGTAGAGGATCGAGGCTCTCTTGGCATGGCCGTAGGAGTATCACAGGCAGGGTTAGAACTGGATTTAAAAAGTGGTCCTGCAGTAGAGCTGTCCGCGCATATATCAAAATCGATAATTCTAGCTTTATCCTGTTTCTGATTTTTGATATCAGATTTATGAAAAGTATTTAAATGCTTTAACTTGTTCGATGTTGTTTATGACTGAGAAATTCTGCCGCCACCTCTGGATATAACTGTTTTGCAAAAGCTGCATATTGCAGAGTTAGTGTCATTTAAATTTATTGCAAAATAGTCCTCGCTTGTCTTACGTTTTGACATAATAATGATAAAATATTCTAAAATAAAAACAGCATTTATAACAATAAAAAATAATAATACAAACATTAACAATTATAACTAAACAAGCAAGTAAAATTATTATAATAGTACTTATCACCGGTTCAAATTTCAATTGAACTTTTTTGGGAGTATTTTGCGTATTTGCAATGTTTACTTTTATTAAGGGTTTCCTTCACAGTTTACTCAAATTCAACAATAATTTGAAGCGCAGAAGTTAAAATTTAGAACAAATTAAACAAATGAAAATCACAACGGTAAAGAGTGTATATTTTTTTCAATTATCAAGAGAGTATTAACGGCAAAGAGTGTTTATTTTAATTCAATGATCAATGAAGTATTAATAAAAGAAGTAAAGTCATTAAAAAGTCATTTTAGAAAAAATCGGAATTGTTTAAAAAGTAGGGAATCGCGGTTCTTACGATTCCTTGAGAATCGGTGGAATCGGAATCGGCCCATCTCTATCAAAAACGCATCTATTGAAAATGAAATGAGCTAGAATCTTTTTAATGTTTTTTACAAAATTTTATTTAAAAGAAACAAAAAACTCTTAACCATCTCTTTATCATCGACGATGAAAGAAATTCTTAACTTTTCAAGTAATATATTCGAGTTTAATGTTTCCTTCTTTCAAGTTTGCAGCAAATACATCAAACTACTACAAACTAAATACAAATACATCAAATTACAATAAAACGGCGTAATAAACTAAATAATTCATCAATCTATAATAAAACGGTGTAATAAACCTAAAGAACGATAAAACTAATTCATTTTTGAAGGAACCGTCTAATGTAGTAACGTAAGTTTCAATCAAGTATCGCGTAATTATCTCAGTTAAAAAATATTATATATCATAATTAAAAGGTAAGATAAAGACACATAAAAGAAAGATAAATCAGTATTCATAAAAGATGAAAACTCTCTAACATTTAATAGTTACTTGATAGCTCAAAAAAAACTTTTGCAAAACCAAGTTGGCTCAAAATAATAAAATTTGCAAGCAGTACATTAAAATTGAAAAGGTAAAAAATAGCAAAAACTTTTGGAATGCTTTCATATGTTTAAGGTGGTAGTACAGTAATTAAAAAAAAAAAAAAAAAAATTACTCAACTTTTACAATATATTCAATATATTATATATTTTTAAATGTGTAATATACCATTAAACGGCAACAACAAAAAAAAGATTTATAACTTTTTGCTTATTCATTGATTAAAAAATGGGGTAAAGGCCGACGGAGGTTTTTCAGCAACCATTATAGTTTTTTAATTGAAAATTTGGCAAGTGGTATATTACATGTGGCATTGTGTCGCGGACTAAAAAATTTAAATTTGGTCTAAAAAATCAAAAAATATTAACATTTTTGTACAATTGGGGCAAATCGGGGGTATTTCAGGACACAAAATTTAAAATAAATACAAAAACAAAAAAGCACTATTAATTATTCTAGTGTATGCTGTATATAATAATGTAGTAAATAAGTGGGCCAAATTTCAAATCAATTTGATAATTAGTTTTTAAAATATCTCCGTCGCCAGCCCAAAAACATGGTTTTAAGAAAAACGCAATTTAAAAAAATTATATAATAAAGATAATTCAAAATTCACCACTTTTATATGTTATACCTTCCAATGTTTCATTTTGGCTACAAAAGCCTTTATGTATTGTTTTTAACTTCTTTCTTCTTAATTTTGCTTTAGATTTACATTATTCTTCAGCTTTAATGACTCGTTTAGTGTCCTTATGTATACAATAATTTTGCGCATTTATACCAAATGTCATTCCAAGTTCAATAAACAACTTATCTAGAAATTGTTGCTCATCATTAAAATTTAGCACAGCTGACGCTACTACAATATTTAAAGCAGTTCTTTCAATAAATACATCTTTTGGACATCGTTTCCATATTAACTGATTTAATGACACATTGGGATTTTGCGTTTTACCATGTAAACATTTTAAAAGAAGTTCATCAGAACCAATGTCTTTAAATATTGGTTTGATAGCATCACAGACAGCTGGAGGAATACAAAAATTTTCTTTATATGTCATTTTCCAAGTCAGTTTGTCAGCCTGGAGCTTGCACCACGAATCTTGAGTGCGCAAACAAAACTGATGTCGCTTTTCACTATCACAATTTTCAGAACAGTGAAAAAGTACAGCAGAAACACTCTTTTTCATTCCATATAAACTTCCAACGCTTTGCTCTAATGCCTTGTCATAATAGTTTTGCAATGTATTTATAACATTTCCAGTTAAGCGACTTGCTCCTCCTAACATTTTTCCATCACATAAAATTTCTTTACTATTTTTTTTTTTTAATTTCTTAGGCGAGTACCAATACGTTTTTGAATATGCCCTATGCATTCTGCTTTTTTTATTTCTATTTATCTCCATAAGGTTTTACAGTAACAACACTAACATATAAACTGCTATCTCCATCACATAAAAATTATGTATATCTTAAATTGCTTTTTTTTTCAGAACGCAAAAATTTTTTTATTACACCACTTGATTCCATAGAAGAAGCTGATATGACTGATTTTAAATTTTTTATAATGTAAGGAATAAAAGTCATTATATTCTTCAGGATGTGTGTATTTCTTTAAGTTCCATATTAAATACAACTTACAAGTTTTTGTTTCTATTTCATAGTCAATACATTTGCCATTTTGTACTGCAACAGCTGTTACTACTCCATTTTTTAAGGTGAATCCACGTTTCTGCCATGATCCATCAAACCCACATATAATATCCTTAGGTTGTAATTCTTCAGCTGCATTTTTCATGCTTTTATTAGCTAAACTTCGATAAACATCTAACAATATGTGCAATGTATCATTATAACTATTTTTATTCATCGGCGAATGCATATTCATAATTCCACAAAATTTTTCTAATGCTGACAATCCCTTACCCAAAATCTCTTACCCATTTCATGAAATATATACAGCAGCCGTAGCGCAGTGGTAGCGCACTTGCCTTGTGATAAGACCGTAAGGACTTCTTGGGGCACCTTAATCAACTTAAAAAAAAAAAAAAAAAAAAAGAAATGCAACTACTACACGGGTGTTAATGTCAAATGACGTCCTACACAATTATGTTTAACTAGATTATTTTGTTTGGCATCATAGTTCTTTTTATTAATAGAAGCAGATGAAAAATTTTTTTTTCCCATTCACAACCATTGCAGCAAATTTTTAATTCAATACTTAGTCCATATTTTTTGGAAGAATCAAACTGCAAATTAACTAACTCTTCACATTCTGGACATTTAAGAAGCATTATTGCTTTTTTTAACAAATTAAAGCTTATAATAAAGTTAAAGCCTTCAATTATATTTTAAGTATCCTATATAATTGCTTTGTTGAACAACTTCTTGAAAGATGATGAACATGGAATGCTGCCAACTGAAGGTATAGCATTGGTTTCATTGAAATTACAATCTTTTTTATATATGTTTCCATGAAATTTTAATTTTTTATTTTGGTATAGTCTTTTTGATAATTCTTTTCTTTTCGAATCACCCATAGCACTTGTATTTTAACAAAATATTATAATAGTTAACCGCAGTATAGGGTAATAAGCAAGTTGGTTAAGAGCATAAAAAGTAAGAAAAACAGTCTTAGACAAAATATACTCGCATAAATCGAGTCAATGAATAAGAAGCAGTAGCTGGATTACAATGTTCATATTGGTACCTTTTGTATATATAATTTTATTGCTTTTTGTACAATTTTTTTTTTCGTAAAAGCCCGTAGCAACAGAATAAACAAAGCGTTGCTATGGATAAGAATTGATATCGAATAATTTAAAATAAGTATTAAAAGTGGATACCGAGTGTTTTTTTTTTGTAAAACCAGAACAAATTTAGAATCTGCAATAGTTACATTAGTCAAAAAATGAATTTTTGAAAAAATGAATTTTTCAATTTTAATTACTGCACTTTTCTGTAATTTTTTTAATTTTAATTACTTTTAATTACTCCATAAATAATGGAGGGAAACTAAAATTAATGTCAACATCAATTATATTACCCCTTGTTAAATTGTTCAAAAAATCTTAAGATAACCCGAGCAACTATCACAGTATTAGCATTATACTAATTTTTACAAAAGTTCTTGAATACCCGACGGGCATTTCTTTTTAAAAGTTACGATGTATGAAAAATGTATTTTAAATGTCTTTTAAACGTCTTTTAAACATTAATGTTTAAAAGACGTTTAAAAGACATTTAAAACACATTTAGAACGTAACTTTTAAAAATAAATGCCCGTTGGGTACCTGCAATATTCACAATAATTTAAATTATATTAAATTAAACACCGAAAAAACTGAATTCTTGATTTCAGGTAAAGCATTGATACAAATAACCATTTCTGGTATTAAAAAAAACTTAGGAACAAACTTAAACTCTTAGAGTATACATGGGATACCAAACATTCAATTTTTGCATCACTTAGTTATTTAAATGTGGATGAAAAAATCTTTAAAGCCGTTGCTCAAACTCTTGTTCAATCTGCAAACCAGTTTGCCCAACCGAGATTCATTTCCAAAATATATAAATCGTTAGCATTACCTTAATCTACGGTATGGATCTATGCAAAAATAATGTAGTTTTAATGAAACCACTAAAATCACTTTTAAATTTTTCTAAATACAGTAAGAACTATACGGTTTCTCTATTTAAAATCCAGGAAGTTTCAAACTACTTAAAATAAACTAAACTTGTTCATTTGTCTTTTTAAAAATAAATCAACATTATTTTTACTGAATTACTCTTTATTTTAACACTTTTATATCACATGTTCAGGAATTATAATGTGGTCTGACGTTAAATTTTAGTAATTTAATACAAAACAAAAAAAAGGTAAGAATTGTAGTTTCCAAGAAAAAAATTTCCCCTGACATTAAAAAAACTTTAAAATTCGCAGTAGAGTGCTGGAATGCAAAATAGCAAAGAAATATTTTTCAAACAATTTTTTGATAAAAGAATTAGTAAGTGAAAATCACTGGAAAGAAATTTATTCTTTTTTTACCCTGTAAATATTATTACATTGGGTGTTCAGTAAATTTAAATTATAATAAAAAAAAAAGTGTCGTAGAATAAGCCTAAGCTATATAAATGGTCTTCTTTAAAAAAACTAACTCTAAATAGGGGAGAACTTGCACCCTTGATCCGTAAGCACTTTTAATCCTAGAGCGTTATCTCCATACTTACATAACTTATTAAAGAGGGCTGATAACCGGCGTGTTATAAATATTGTATCTTCAAAATTAATTGTGTTTTGGTTAAAGAATAGACCACTATTAAATTTATTTCTAAATAGTTTGATTTTGACGAAAAAAAGTATTTTTTTTACTTTAACAAGGAACCTCACATCTTTAATATTTTTTTAAGTTGAATAATTTTGCTTATGTCATTTTGTAACTTAACTATTCACCTCTTGTATGGTTGCTTTTGGTAAGCTATAGAAGCATCTAATATGACCAAAAAAGAATTTTTGTAAAAATGGAGCGGGTTAGCACCCTTGATCCTAATGCGTTTATGCACCTTTGATCCTATGATCAAAGGTGCATACACACACACACACACACACACACACAAAATGTTTAACTTTTAAAGTAACATGTACAATACGTCATATTGTTTTTAAATATATTTTTTTCTTCTAGAATAAAGCCTTAAAATGAAGGTTTTATACTATTTTGTATTTTTTTGTTCTCCTAAAACTTTTATATAATATAATTGTAAAGTATTCAATATATATATATATATATATATATATATATATATATATATATATATATATATATATATATATTTGTGTGTGTTTGTTAATAAAGAAGATTTTAGTAAGTAAAAATCTTTATAAATGTTTATTCAAAAATTAGGAATATAGCAAAACTATATAAATATGTTTCATTTTTTTTACAGTTAAATATGGTGTATCATAAAAAATGAAAAACCAAGACTACCTAGAGGTAAAGTTAATGAGAATGAAATGCGAGTACAGTTTATCGTGTATCTAAAGAGAGGGGAATCAATTTAATGACACTTGAGATATGTAAGGAAATGTCAATTAATTCCATATACAGTCTGCAAACCTAACTTCATTACCATGCAAATCTTTACCAACAAAGAAGAAACATCTTTATCAGATTATCTTTTAAGGGCCTCAAAACTTCACTATGGATTATCAACCAAAACAACACGAAAACTTGCCTATGAATTTGCAATGACTCTTTCTAAGCGCATTCCTAAATCGTGGAAAAGTTTACAAATTGCTGGGAAACAGTGGCTTCGTGGTTACGTAGGAATGAGTTATCTTTAAGAAATCCAGAAGCTACTAGTATGGCAACTGCTTTTAATTGTTATACAGTCGGAGAATTTTTCACCAATCTAAAAGATGTTCGTCTACGACACAAGTTTCAGCCACAAAACATATATAATGTTGATGAGACAGGTCTCACAACTGTTCAAAAACCAGTTAAAGTAATTGCTAAAAAAGGAGATAAACAAGTTGGAAGGATAACTTCAGCAGAAAGAGGGACATTGGTAACAGTTTGTTGTGCAGTCAATGCAATAGGAAACTCAATCCCTCCATTTTTTATTTTTCCAAGAGTTCATTTCAAAGGAAGTATGATAAATGGTGGTCCACCTGGATGTGTTGGGGTTGCAAACCCATCTGGTTGGATGAATAATGCAACTTTTTTAGAGTGGATGAAACATTTTATTCAAAATGTGAAATGTTCACCAGCTAATCCAGTGCTTTTACTTCTTGACAACCACGAGAGCCATGTTTCAATTGTGTGTTTAGATTTAGCTAAAAAAAATGGCATAACTATGCTGTCCTTTCCACCACATTGTAGTCACAAGTTGCAGCCATTAGATCGGTCAGTTTATGGGCCACTTAAACGTTATTACAAAGCAGCCTGTGATGATTGAATTGTATCTAATCCAAGAACGATGACCATATATTTAGCTTCAGTTGTAAGGAAAGCCTATGCACAAGCTTTTACTTTGTCTAACATTTCTGCAGGATTTGCTGTGGCACGAATTGAACCCTTTAATCCTAACATATTTTCTGATAATGAGTTTTTGTATTCATATGTAACAGACCGTCCAGAACCTATTACTGCTAACCCTTTTCCAGGTGTTGTTGATCCAGTTCATGCCCCAGCTTTTAATCAATCATTGATGTCAAGTCTGTCATCTGGTTCAGCTTGTAGTGTATTGCCTATTCAGCCTATATCTGACCCTGGAAGTCAACTATCCAGTGTTTCTAATAATATCTCTCATCAAGCAAGTCTAGAAAAAATTTGGCCATTTCCAAAAGCTGGATCAAGGAAATCCATTAAAGGACGTAAACGTCAGCGTACTCGAATACTCACAGACACTCCTGTTTGAAATAAGTTAAATAAGCTTCAGGAAATAAAAAAAAAATCTCAGTCAAAAAAGAAAAAACATGAAATGCAAAATAAGATCTTCATGACAAGAAAAAGAAAACTTGATCTTGAAAGTAATGAAAATAAAAACGTTGAGTCTCAGTAAAAAATAACATTTTTTTCATTAATTTTTACTTTTTTAAGAAAGATAAATTTGTAGTAAAATTAATAATAACTTTATTGGTTTTTATTATAGACATTGTTTTGATGACTTAAAAATTATTCTTATACAATCATGGTATACACTTGATCTCGAATCAAGTATACATACATAGGATCAAGGGTGCATATAGGTAGGATCAAGGGAGCATACTGGTATGCACCCATGATCCTAATTGAGCATTCTTAGTTTTTATAATTTTAAATCTACTTAAAATATTCTGGTAAAAAAATGATAATTGAATTATAATAAGGTATAAAATTTGCTATTATGTACTGTTATTTTAGAGATTGAAATAAAAACATATATTCAGTAAGTTGGCCTGATAGATTTTTAGGATCATGGGTGCATACTCTCCCCTACGCCTTTTTTTAGAATTTAGCAGTGATTATTTAATGTGATCAAAAACCAACAGTACTGAATAAATCACTTAACAATTTGTTACGAGTCACATTTATCGCATTTTATTAACAATACTTTATTAACAATATTTTACAGCTTTGAAGAATAATTTATTAAATATTAATTTTGTTTGCTGAAATAATATATTCATATATGGAACGCCAATATAGATTAAAAACTAGTGCAATGTTAAAAAGTTATCTATGTTAACTAATTGTGTTCCATTTTTCACACAAAAAACAGCGGAAATCAATTTTTAACCGCATCACTAATGCCCCTCGGAGACTTTCTGGTTTCGAATTTTTTTTTTTTTCAAACTGACAGCGAAACAAAAATTTCTCAAAAAGTTTAATTTTAAATGTTTTCAAAAGTAGTTTTACATTAAGGTGGTACTTGGGTGAAAAATCCAAATTCTTTAATTCTTACTATTTAAATTTGATATTTTGGTACAACAATTATATACAGGTAACTATGTCTTTTTTTAAAAAAAAAAAGAAAAAAATTACAGAAAACCCTTTTTTGGGTCCAAAGGTCTCAAAATGGTCACTTTGCGGTGCGTCAAATTCAGAAAAAACCACCTGTAGAATGATAACAAAATTTTTACAGTTTGTTTATAGTACAATTTTACAGGCATGGGAGCAGAATTAGCCTGATTACATAACTAGATCTAAGGTAATTAAAATTCAAATACCTTGCTTATAAAAAAGCTTAAAAATAAAACTTTGGGCTTGGGTAACTCTGGACCGAAAAATATTTTTTCAAAAAATGTTGGTTCTAAACCTGTATCTTATAAAAAATAACCACCATATAAAATTTCAAGAGTAAAGCTCAAATAAATCAAAAGTTATATGACGCACCGTTCAAAAAATTCAATTTTTAGATAAATGCAATTTAAGTAATAATATACTAAAATATCACTAAATTTCTTTCAAATATTCAAAAACAAAAAGATTTTCATGATTGATGACCGTAAATAAAAAATAATAAAAATCTCTCTAATATAAACCATAACCATACTTCATTTCTTCTACATTGATTAGTATTTGTGAAACCTTTTATAAACTCTTTGAATATGCTTTTTTCGATTTCCTTTCCATTGACATTACTCTTTGGTTGTTATTTGAAACACAAAACTGTTTGCATAAAATCCTGGAATACCTATGCCCTTTAAAACTTTTAGAGTTCCAGTTGAACTATGATTAAAATTTATAACTGCAGAAGCTACACCAAGGTCAACAGTGGTTTTACAAACGTAGATATCTTTTTGAAACCGTTTCCAAATCATTCCATTTAGTGACTCATTTATTTATTAGTTATTTTGAGTTTTGCCATAAAGATATTTTTTTGTAAATTGTCATCACTTAAACTTAAAAAAAACAGGCTTTATTTCTTCAAGGACAACAATTGGTAATTCCTCCCTTATGTTTGCATGTTGCTATGCCATTTATTTTGTCAGCCTGATATTTACACCAACTATCAAGAGTACGTGGGCACATTTGATGCCTTCTATATTCTAATAATGTATTTTGCTTAAGAGCAATGGAAAAGCACTGCTCTAATTACTTTTTTCATCCACAGAGTTTTTCTAAACTGGTATAACTTTTTCCAATTTCTCTCATATCAAAAACAAAATGAACATAAACCTCAAACAGGTCTACCACGACTGCTTTTGCATTTACATTCTTTACTTGAATGAAGTTGTACACTAACAACAACTTGAACATTGTAACAATAATGGTATAGACAAGCCTTGCTTTCTCAAGACGTTAAATGTTCGACTCATAGTCTTTTTGTCACATTCAGGGCATGTTACAACTAAATAAATAATTTCCATAAAAATGTCAATAGAAAAAATTATAAAAATCGATAATATACAGTTGGGTTTGAAGAATTTACACAAGTAAACAAACTGGTATCATTGGTGAATGAAGATGATGCAAACTTTATTGGTCTGGTTTCATTAGTGATTATAAAAGGTAATGTTGTATCTGATGATAAATATGACAGATTTATTTGAAGAAATAGGTAAGTTAGAAGGAGGAATCTCAATTGGTTCTTCTTGTGTTTTTTTGTGTGTGTGTTGGTTACCTTTAAATGTCCGTTTAGAAAATGCTTTTGAGTGGCCAGACTTTCTTTCTAACATAGCTCGACTCTTTTTTTAATATTAATTATTATTACAACTATAAAGAATAAAAAAACAATAATAACAAAAAAGTGTAACTAAGCCTAATTTTTTTTTCATTGTTGTTGTTCTTTAATAATGAACATTATAGTTAAATAACTTGAATAAAAAAAGAAAATAATAACAAATAAAAAACCAATTAAGTTAACTATAACAAAGCTTAAAAAAAAAGATAAAAAACCATGTAACTAAATCAAATAAACGATGATTAAAAACATAAACAGATATTATTTCACTTGCAGCTTTTCAACTTTTAAACAATTTAAATGCCATGTAACACATGTATTTAATTGGTGACTTTTTGCATGAAGTTTATATTTCTGTAAAACAATTTAATGACTTTAAAGCAAACCAACTATAGGTTTTTAAACATAATTTTACAGGCTTTCAAGAAATCAAAATTGGTTGCTATGGGCGTTGCTACGAAAGTTGAGTTTGGAGTTTAAGATTGCCTTTTTTAAAATGGAAAGTTAAGTATCATCTGAATTATTTTAAATAAAACAAATTACTTAGACGTTTTCTGCATTGCTTAGTTTACTTAAAAACATTCACTTTGAAATTTTCAATTTTTACTTTTTTTTCACCCAAGTACCACCTTAATACAGTGTTACCAAATGACATTATAGAGTAACAATTTAACATCCTATATTGTAATTAAATTTTGATAAAGTTCATGCTCATATATTCATTCACTTCATTCTTCCTCCATAGCTAGAGACAGAAAATCAATTTTAAAATGGAAGGTTAAAAAAGAAAATCGATTTTAAACAATTTAAAGATAAGCTAAGACAAGCAAAGTAACGAAACTCTAGGCTAGCAAAATTATTACATTTTGTAAGTGGGTGGGGCAAAACGGGACAGTTAAAAAGCAGCAGTTATTTGTTAATTGTAAAGTTTTAAAAATGATGAAAAATGAAGGTTATCTATCATTTAAACATGTTCAGGCAATCTAACTTTCGAAAAGTAACATACCCATATAAACTACACGCCCATACACCTGTACGCTACAAAAAAGAAATAAAATAAAAAAACTTTTTTGTGTTTTTTTCTGTACCCTAATTTTTGATTTTCTCAAACTTATAGATGCATTTTGGCACTTTTGATGCATTTTGGTGTTTCTGAAATTAATTAATTTTTACAATAATGAGACAATAGCTTAAAATACTTTATCAAAAAAGGATTTTTAAAGAAAAATAATTTTTAACTTAAAGAAATTTTTTTTTTAGCTATTTAAGGCTTCAGGCATAACTGTCCCGTTATGCCCCACTGTCCCAATATGGCCCATTCTACCTTAATCATTTTTTGAATACCTCAATACTACGTCTAAATATCAAAGTTTTAGACCATCTCTACTACTCAGTTTAAACCTTTTGCTATCCTGTTTAACTATAGGTTTGTTACGTTCTTACGTTTTTTTGACAAGGAACCTATTATATCTATCCAGGATATTATTTTGTGTTTTAGTGCTTTTGCTGGATTTAAAAAAAAACTGATATTTTAAAGACAGAGATATAAAATACTATTTTGTAAATCCGGTAATAAATATTACCAATTCTAATCTGGATATTTATTTATTCAATTCTAAAAGTAATTAGAAATATATTATTAGTTGTTCAAAATGACTAGACCGTTCAACTAGACCGCAATCCGTTCATACCGATTGCATTAGTCTGTGACTTCTCTATAAGAACCATGTAAATGTTTTAGAGTTAGTAGCTTATAATATGTAATAATATTATCAAAAAAATTCCTAAAC